ATTGGCGATCCTCTTGTAGTTTTGGGGCAACTGGAACAAAAGCTGGAGATTGATGAAGATGAAAAGGAATAAAGAATGGGGGCAAAAATGAGTCATCAAAAACCCCAAAAATGAGCTTAAGTATTTACTTGTGCTAAAAACACAAAATGTGGCAGGTATGTACCAGTAGGTCTTGTATGCTACATCAGGAAAGGTCTATTTATAGGCTGGATGAACAGAAGTATGGTTAAATAGAGTAGAGAAAGTTAAAGCTTTTATAAAACGGATTGAAAATTTTATTGGAGGATAATCTTATGGTAAAATGGGCAGAGATGAGTAGATGAATGCGATAGGTGGGAGAGAAACGAGGAAGAATTGGTAGATGTCATAGTTTTCTACAACTGGCTGCATCATCGTCCCCTATCGGAGCACTGGGAGTGGGTTGTGAAGCGTAGCGTTGGATGAGAGTAGAATTAGGCCCACCAGATTTACTAATCATACTAGTGCCCCCATCCTCAAGGCGAACAGTAGACACATGGCCTAGATCAGAAAAGTCGTGATGGTCGTTTGAAAAGTCACGGTTGTAGTATTTTAGCTTGTAGATGGTCCAAAGCTGGCAGACAATCTCAGAGGCGACTAGCTCACCTGCGTTCATTGAAATCATGCGTAATAAGAAAACGCCATCGTGACGCAAAAATTGACGCGAGAACTTTTCAACCATGCATTTATCTTTCTTGGTCAGCTGTTCACCAAGCTTAAGGAAACGCTTCACGAAGCTGGTTCGCGACTTCTCGTAATGGATTCTGAAGAACCAAATGGGCACGCTGATGGTGGTGATAATGGCGGCCAAAAGGATCCAAAACCATAGAAATACGAAGATGCGCTCGTTGAGCATGTTTACAGGAAGCACACATTGTGTAACTATATTGTTCCAACCACTCAAATGCAGTAGAGGAGCTCGGCAGAAGCAGACACGTGGAAAAATCATCGTTGTTTGCCAGTCGTGTCCCGAAAGCATATTATTGAGCACAGCCACTCCGAATATGGTATAGTTGCTATTATTACGAAGACCCAAAAAAGCCTGCATCAGGAAGAGCTGGGAAATGGCATTGAACACGTAAAGTAGCTTGATGAAGAGGTAAGTGTAGGCGAGTCGGTTGCCCAGGCGTTTGCTCACTGCGAACATACTGCACCACTTGTAGGCATTTCGGCGAACTTGAGCAAACTTTCCGGTGCGGTATTCGCGGCGCTAGAGAGAAAGAGATAGATGGCTCCTAGATCAGTAGCTAAATTAACCCCTAATTATGTAAGTCAAACAAGGAAAAATAACCGCTTTCGATGGAAATATTCTTCATTGCTGTCGTGTTGTTGAAAAAGAAGAGTGAGGCTAGACTTGCTCCATAGGTGATAAGTCGCTCGAATTTGCTTTCGCAAATTGATCGCAGCGTCAGGGAGACCTTGTTGAATATACCTGGTCCTGTGTCCTCTGCCATAGTATTCGTGATTTCCAGTTTCGGACCATTGACTTGGTACATTCCCAAACGTTTCGCCGGCATCGTCAGTGAGATGAGCCATCGTAAGCACAGGGTTACAACTTATCACTTGTCACTGTGATAAGTTTCGCACAAGTTCGCAGTGACAGTCCCAAGGAAATCTTACTTTGGCTTCAAGTAATGCCAACTTAAGAATGCTTTGCATCCGTCTCTTCAAGCGTAATGAAAACTATACAGAAATCATGAAGAAAATTGGGTTTCGAAGAATTCCTTAATTAACTATCGTGGCATGACACTCCATTTTAAAGGAAAAGTTGGCTGGAAGGAATTCGTGATGTGGTCTCACTGTAAACCGAAGGAGGATTGTCGCATAAGGAAGACTGTTGAATTGTGCGGAGAGGTCCTCGGTTCACCGTGCTGCGACCCCGATGTAACTGTGCTAAGCTTTCGTCTGTACTGTGACAGACATCATCAGAGCAAGATTCCATACTTTACGAAATAGAGCAAAAATATACTATACCAAGATAAGAATGTGACTGGCTGCAAGCCTAGTCGCTTTTTTATGCACCTAACATCGCGATCTTAATGAGGACTCACATTATCTGCTTGGTTACTTCAACCCTACTCTACACGCTTGCATATGGGTGAATTTAACTTCATGAACCGGGAGTTAGTTCGGTGGCAGATGTTTCATCACACAAAACTAGCGTATGATCGTCTAATGCTCAATCATGTTTGGGCATGCGCAATTGTCTAGTGTGTGTATGTAATGCTCATGTCATGGGAAGTGTGATAGTCCTAGCAAGACTCGAAGCTAATCCAGCCTCCTGTTGCTCAGTCGCTCTTCCTGCATTCCTTCATCTCCTTAAACCTATTTAACAGCCACAAATAGTTCCTACTTAGTTTTATAGTCTCGTTCCTTCTATTCAGGACTGCTTTGTTAATTTTTACAGCCTCCCGAATCTTACGCTTTGATGTGAAGTCTCGTAACCGTCAAAAAGTTGTGTTTTAGATCAGTCTATTGAGTGTCCTGTATTGTCTGTCACAGTACAGACTAAAGCTTAGCACAGTTTCATCGGGGTCTCAGAACGGTGAGCCGAAAACTTCTTCGTCTTCCTTACGAGACAATCCTTCTTCGGTTTCCGATGAGACCACATCACGAATTCCTTCCAACCAACTTGCTCTTTGAAATGGAGAGTCGTGCCTTATGACTCCCCAAAAGGAGTATAGGATGGAAGCAAATAAGTGACATGATAGCAAAAAGGATACTAATCGCTCACAATCACATATACTCACACGATCTTAGAAAAAATTAAAGGTGTTGGCATGGTGCAGTTAGAGCCAATTTAATAAAGCTGGCTAATAGGCAGGAAATACGTAAGTAGGCAAGCCCGTTTGATAATTGCAAGCTAAATAACAAACCATGAATCTTACCTAAAAAGTATACGAAAAGTTCGAAACGAAAGGGTCGATCTGGAATTCGAGCCAGTGTAAGGGAGTTTTTTGCCTTAACCAAGTCAGGTATGAGAAAAAATAAGACGAGATAAAATATAAGTTTATGAAATGACTATTTTTGTGACAAGCCAAAGTTTATACTTTATTTTTGAATATTCTGATGTGTGAATAAAATAATATATAAATCCATAATGCTAAGGTCAAAGCAGCTATCTTTTGATTGGCTGAAGTAGGCTTGATAGTAGCATATCGAAAAAAATATTTACTAAAGATACGTTCCGCAGCCTATTCCTTCCAAGTTCAGGCTGCAGTTTTTCCTTCAGAAGCGATTTTCATAAGCTAAAATACTTAGTATAGAGAAGTTTCTTGAACATAAAAGGTGAGAAGTAACTCAATCTTTATTAAGCAAACTCTTACTAAAG